CTTACTTAGAAAGACAGTTTCAAAGATGCTAACAGTTAAGTTATTATGAATTCATACTGGGGTAGTATGGGTCTTAATCCAATCTGAGGGATGTATTTATGAAAGAAGAGAAGAGACAGAGAGACAGGCAAAGAGATGCTGTGTAACACTGCGGTAGCAACACAACAGACACCTGAACACCTCGCCCTACCAGAAGCTGGAGAAGAACACCTAGAGCAACCAGAAGCTAGCAGAGAGGGATGGGACCGAATCTCTCTCAGAGAAATCAACCCCAGAAGAAATCCACACGGCCACCATCGTGATCTCTGCCAGGATCCAGAACCGGGAGGCAAGAAGTGTTTGGTCTTTAAAGTACCACTATTTTGTGGTACTTTCTTACAATAGTATTGGCAAAGCAATTAAGAGAGAAGTGTAGGGAGAGACACCGAAAAGGGATTAATCAAACTGAGGCCAATACTCAAAATGACTTCATAAATAAACTAACCTTGAATGAAATCTTGAGGAGCCAGTAGACAGTCTTTAGGCAGAGGTACAGAAAGTTCCTTCCAAGCCAAAGAAGCAACACAATCAAAGGGTATTAAACCCATATCCCACTGCCATCAGGTCAACCCAACTCACAGCAAAGTGACATATCTAAGTAGTGTGAAGGAACCACAAGCAGTTCATAGTAGAAACCCTTTTAACTGCCTATTCTCAACTACTTCACCAGATTAGCCAATGGTCTTATTCCTCCTGCAAAACGCCACAAATAATCACCCACCAGGAGCACGGGAGTCCTTGGTGGGCCTGGCCACTTCTGCTCCTACCTCTCACAGGAATCAGAGGTGTGCGTCCCCAAATCAGCTCAGGCACACCTCATTCTTGACTTCTCCTCACTCCACCCACATTCGCAAGTTCATCTTTACAAGAAAACCTCAAAGGAATAATAGAGCTTTCCAAGAGTAGGTTTTGTCTTTTCTGACTAATACAGTTTCTTAGGATTTTCCAGAGAACACGAGAGTATTTTTAAAAGCAAGAGTAATGCACGGAAGTGATTAAGCCTTTAAAGTGTATCCTTTATGCCCAAGGTCCTGTTAATTACCATTTAGGAACAGCTTATTTGCAATGCACTCAATTACTTAGGTAACTAACTAGGTTTTCACTGATCTGAGAGCATCATTTGCTGAACAGCAAATCACTAATGCAGTGGCACATTTCCACTGATGGCATAATCCCAGAAATAGGTTTATTTGAGATTATGCTTCTGGAGAAAAAGACATTTTAGCAAAATACAGCTCCGTTTTTTATATAGCTACTTAGACCCAAGATGCATATGTTTAATTGTACCCCCCAACCCCGGCCACACACACACACACACACACACACACACACACACACACACTAATTAATCAATCAAGAAAGAATACCCAAGTTACTATAATGTCCATTCCACTCATTCATCCAGTCTATTCCTTAAAAGGAAACGTTTCATAATATTGTTATTTAATCAGATCACAATCCACAACTTTCATGTTCCTGCTCAAGCCTGATATTCACAGTGAGACTTCTATGAGCTATCCTAGCCCTGTTAGCCCTGTATCCTAAGAGTGTTGTCTTAAGCCCTCTAGTTCAAGTGTGGGGTCAGATGTTAAAATGGAGGCTTCTCCTGGCTTGTGTAGCTATGGGGCTTAGTGAATTGGGAGGCAAGAAGATCAACCAGGAAGCAAGAAGACCACAGGTTAGTGGCTTCAGAGGTTGCTGAATCCAAGGTTAGCAGATCGAGCCTAGGGCTGCCAGGTCCAATGAATCCAAGGTTGGCAGGACAGATGGCAGGTGTCTGATGCTCCAAGGCTCAGCAAGCAATATGGTATAAGTGTTGACTCAAGTCAAAAGAACCACAGGTAGATGAGCGAGAGGCAGGAGCCAGACCTGCTTGACCAGCACCCACTTACAGATAAAGTAGGCCACACACTCGGGAACATCATCAGGACTGTAGCCTGAGTAAGGGGTTGCCTTCACCCCAAACTTCTAACAATTGTTTGGCCGCTCACAGCAGATTCCATCGTGAAGGTGATTACATTATGTTAGGCCACATCATGGGGAATTATAGACCTCAACTGTCAAACCACTGAACTCCTCACTTAGGCAAATTGACACAAAACCAACTACCCAAGGTGTTATGTTTCATTTCTAAAGAAAGTGACCCTCAAGTTGATGAATTCTTACTTAGTACAGTCTCATATTTCAGCACCAACCACCATAAAACCAGGTCATTAGCTTTTGGACAGAGATGGTAACGATTCATGTATTTCCTTTTGGCGATAGCTCTTCACTCCATTATCAGACTCAGCATGTCCCCAGTTAGCCTACATTGGTATTTATTTGTCTGGTTATACTCCTGGCAGTTAAGAGAGAAGGTGGGGCCAATTCCTGAAGTCTTGTTCAGAGAAGTACACTGTGTGTTTTGCTCATATATAAGTACTGGTTCTTAGTTCAGTGGGATGGGTTGCCTCTGCCAGTTTTGAATGCTTAAGGGTCTTTCAGACCAAAAATGAATGGAGATGCCCACTTAAATGTCCCTACCACATACTTTCAGGTTCTAGGTTTTAACCAGAAACCTGTCTCGGCAAAGTGTTTAAATGCCTATAGAAGTCTAGGAATCTAACTATCTGATGCTGAGTTTTTTCTTCAGTATGTCCATCCTCCCACTACAAGACAGAAGGACTTCCTTGTAAACTACCCATGAGATCCGGCTTTCAAATGTAGGTCTTCTTGTTGTTTAATGACCTTTCATTTCTCAGTATCCTTCTACTATTCACCTTCTACTTCTCAATTGCCTGAGTCAATAGCATGCTGGCTTCCACCCAGATATTTCCCCAGACCAACACAGGCAAAACATTTAATAACTGGGAAGTTGCCTGTGCCAGGAACTATCCATGCTTCACATACCACTCAGGACAAGGTTCTCCTTGGCAGGGAGGTGATACTTTAGCCAACCCACAAAGCCCAGTTTATCGAGGCCCACTCTTGCTGTGCCCAGTGAAGGCTAAGAGAAGGGATCAGAAGTACACAGTCTTAAGTCCATGAGACAATTTTCATCCCTTGTTGAAGAAGAGAAAGAACGAAAGAGGGGGTAGAGAGAGCCTTAGATCACAGTGCAGTGCCGAGAATATCTTAGCCAGCTCAACAGGACATCCAGAGTAAGAGTCTCCCTTAGACGCATGCCTTATCTGACAGGAATTGGCCAGCACTCAGACCACACTGTGTTCAATCATCTGTCCGGAGCCGTCTGATGGAAGTAGGAGCTGCCAATCAACCACGGCCCCCATCTCCTCAAATCTGTGAGGTCGCTCCAGAAACCCATCACTGTTTGCCCATCACTTTGTAGTGGCTGGCTCAAAGATGCTATTTCGATTCCACTAACGACAGCAACCCTTTCTTCTTTCTGCAGTAACATACGGATTGTTCTTCTCCCACAGTCGGAAGCACTGCAAAGCATTCGGAGGTGTGACAGCAACTCTTTCACCCTCTCTTCAAGGAGGGCTATTCGCTCCTATTTATAGCCTCTATTTGTTGTGATCCGTTGGCAAAAAAATAAACACGGACATAGCCATCTGGAGTAGTCCCCTTGTTTGCAGACTCTGTCAATGCAGAGCGATTCACATCTTTCACAATCCCCTGATAATCACTACCAGGTGTCTGTTTGGGGGGGATTTCTAGAGATACTGCTTTTGAGTCCATGGTACGCACCTTGTTGTTTACCTGGAAAACATACAAATACTTGCTTGCTGTCACCAGGCCTTTAAGTTATTTTCCCAGTTAAATTGCAAATGTTACACTATGAAATCTACATCTGTATATAAAGTACATCGCATGACTAAGTAGGTCAGAGATGACACATGTGATTCGTCTTGTCGTGCCTCTCTGATCAATTGCATGGGACTGCCAGCAGCACTACTTTGAGAGTCTGGATCACATAATCCATTAGTGATGTCTGTAGTGCATCAGTGGAGGAGCTTTGTATAGGTACATGTTTTTCCTCCCTGGTGTTGAGCCTGTAACTACAAAACTGAGTGAAGATGAATTGCTTACAGGAAAACCAAGTTTCCTGTAAAACCTTGGCCTCAGTTGCTCTGACGTTTAACCTATGTCAATCTATGTCAAATAAATTAATAAATCACTCACTTGACTTTTTTCAAAGCAACAGTTGGAAGGGAAAGGGGGAAATAAGTAGAAAAATTGGAGTCAGAAATTGGGGGGAGGGGAAGAAAAGGTACAAGTCGATTTAAAACAGAATGAATTCAGGAAGGGGAATCTTAGGGGACTTCCAAAAGGTTATAGATGATAGATAGATAGATAGATAGATAGATAGATAGATAGATAGATAGATAGATAGATAGATGGATGGATGGATGGATGGATGGATGGATGGATGGATGGATAGATAGATAGATAGATTGATAGATAGATAGATAGATATAGAGAGATAGACAGACAGATGGTTGAGAGAAAATGAACTCCAACCCATGACAACCTCCTGTGTTTTCAGTGGCTCTTTTGTTCAAAGTACATTCTGAGGCCTTTCTGAGTTGCCACAGGATGGACTCGAACAGCTAATGTTCAGGTAACAACGGAGTGTGTGGACCATTTGCACCACGCAGTGACTCCTTTCCCAAAGTAAGCATTTTGCTTTTCTCAGGGCTGTCCTTCACTGATCCTTAAACAGCCCTTGGTTTAAGACTGACCTGATGCTCGAGGAAGTCCTTTCTGCTACTTAGAGGTTGCCTATTCGGTTGATATGATTCCCCTTCGGTGAGTATTGAAATCCTTCCTAGCTGGTTACATCCGAGTGGCAGTACGCTCCGATAAATAAAGTCAAGCCTTTCCTTACTTTTCCCCCCGGTAGTCATAGAAAGATACCAATAAATAAGAAATGATCTTTCCCAAGAATTCATTGCAGCTACACAACAGAGCTGCAAATTTGAAGGAACCTGAAATTCACTGCAGTGTATTTTGGTTAGACTCTTTCACAGGGCTGGTCAACATTTTGACAGACATCATTTGGCGATTCACCGGAGACTTCATGGCACCTGACCTGGTTTGCCGAGTGGTCCGCTATTTGCAGGTATGTCGTGACTTCTGAAGGAACACGGGTGGTACTGTCAGGTAAGCATTATTCTGTTCACTGCAAGGTGAGCGTTTCAAATCCAGAAACTGTTCCTCAGAAGAAAAATGAGGCTGTCAGGTCCCATAAAGATTTATAGTCTCAGAAACTCTGTACGTGGTCATTATGATGAAATGCACATGATGATAGTGGGTTTGGGGATTAGCAAGTCCCAAATGTGGTGAAATGAATGGAAACCAAAGTTAGCTCATGCCTCTGTTTTTGTTTTGTTTTGTTTTATTAATAAATTATTTTATTGGGGGCTCTTACAGCTCTTATAACAATCCATACATCAATTGCATCAAGCACATTTGTACATATGTTGCCATCATCATTTTCAAAACATTTTCTTTCTGCTTGAACCCTTGGTATTAGCTCCTCTGTTTTCCCTCCTTCCTTTACCCATCCACCCTCATGGTCCTGATAAATTATAAATTCTTATTCTTTTCATATCTTACACTTTCCACTGTCTCCCTTGACCCACATTTCTGTTGTTTGTTCCCCTGGAGTGGGGTGGGGGAAGTCATACATCCATCATTGTAGTCAGTTCCCCATTTCTCCCACTTCTCCCCGCACCTTTTCCCTACCCTCTTGGTATCACTACTCCCAATACTGTTCCTGAGGGGTTTATCTGTCCTGAATTCTGTGTATTAAGAGCTTTTATCTGTACCAGTGTACATGCTCTGGTCTAGCTGGATTTGTAAAGTACAACTGGGGTCATGATATTGGGGGGAGGGGGAGGAAGCATTAATGAACTTGTGTGTTTCATTGGTGCTATGTTGCATCCTGGCTGACTCGTTGCCTCCTTGTGACCCTTCTGTGAGGGGATGTCCAATTGTCCACAGGTGGGCTTTGGGTCTCCACTCCAGCTCCCATCATTAATATATTTGTTTGTTTTTGGTCTCTGATTCCTGTTACCTGATTCCATCAACACCTCACGGTCACAAAGGCTGGTGTGCTTCTTCCATGTGGGCTTGTTGCTTCTCTGCTAGATGGCTGCTTGTTTAACTTCAAGCCTTTAAGGCCCCAGACACTTTATCTTTTGATAACCAGGCACCATCAGCTTTCTTCACCACATTTGCTTATGTACCTATTTTGACTTCAAGTATGGTATCGGGAAGGTGAGCATCACAGAATGCCAGATTATTAGAACTGTTTTGGGGTGGTTTTTTGTTTTGTTTTTTTTTAATAAGGAAAATGCCACTTCCATGCTTTGCTATGCAACAAACTGACCCCTCCACCTAGTTGAAAGAAAAAACAAAATGTATGTTATTTTTACCCTTTCTTTTGCTAAAAAATAATGCATTTGTATATGTAAACAAAGGAGCCCTGGTGGTGCTGGGAGTTCAGCATTGGTCTAGTAACCACAGAATCAGTAGTTCAACCCCACGTGCTGCTCTGGAAGAGAGCTCAGGCTCTCTGCAACCCTAAAGACGTACAGTCTCGGAAACCCTATTTGGGGCCCCTCTGAGCCGGAATCTACTTCATGGAGTAGGAAGGTTAGCTATGAAGAAAAACAAATAAGGAATGATAAGAACATAAAACATTCATATTTCAAGCAACAAGGAAAATATCTGGGTTGATGTTAAGGTTTAGACATCTGCCTCAATAATCTCCAGAAAGTTTATCAATTCTATTCCCTTTTCCCCCTCAAACTGACCCAATACAAGGTAGTGTTTTGTTTTGTTTTTTAATTTTGGCAATTTATTTATTTATTTATTTATTTATTTCAATTTACATTTTTGTTACCAGAAAAAATGCATTTTTGTCTTATTTTGATTGGCATTTGAATTCCTTCTCTCAACTACTCGTTACTATTATTTTATAAAATGAGATACTTGTTTTCTGACTTATTGGTGAGAACTGTTTTTAGGTTTGAGATATTTTCACATTGTCATGTTTCAATATAAGTCATATATATGTATCATATATACATCTAGTGTGAAACATTGACTCAATAACACAATTGTATATCATGTATATGAAACATGATATGTGTATAACAGTATATGACATTTCATCTAAGTATGGAAGGGCTCTTTCATGCTGGTCTAAGATAAATGTATTTGGTTTTTGAGTTCTTGCAATTTTATTCCATGTGTTCATACCTACCCTGATGCTAGCACTTTGAGTATAAATTCTTGTAGATGTATAGGTTTACACTGCATTTCTGAAGAGCCTTACTCTGCTAGACTCCATTTGTGACTAGGACATTTTGGGATCTTTAAGTCTGTAAGTGAGATTAGGGTTTTCATGCTTTCCGAACTTAGTAATGGAGTTATTTCACCTTCGGAAAATGAATAGGGCTCATTTACACTCATCTATTGTGCTCTGAGCATAACCTTGAAAGTCTGATAGGTATCAAAGCACTTCGCCCATTATCTGAGCTGGTATTTTCTAGAGGGTAATTTTTTTTCTTTTATCAGGGCTCTGACAGCTCTTATCACAATCCATACATACCTCTATTGCATCGAGCACGCTTGTACATATGTTGCCATCATCATTTTCAAAACATTTTCTTTCTACTTGAGTATCCGCTCCTCATTTTTCCCTCCCCCTCCCACTCTCCCTCCCCTTCATGAACCCTTTAAAAAATTTTCCCCATGTCTTACACTGACCAATATCTCCCTTCACCTGTTTTTCTGTTGTCTGTCCCCCTGGAAGGGGGTTATATGTCGATCATGGTGATTGATTCCCCCTTTCTCCCCATACCTACCCCTTCCCCTCCTGGTATCACTACTCTCATTATTGGTCATGAGGGGGTTAAGTATCCTGGATTCCCTGTATTGCAAGCACTTCTCTGTAGCAGTGTACATGCTCTGGTGTAGCCAGATTTGTAAGGTAGAATTGAGATCATGATAGTAGGGGGCAGGAATCATTACAGAACTAGAGGAAAATTGTATGTTTTTGTTGGTGCTATACTGCTCCCTGACTGGCTTGTCTCTTCCTTGTGACCCATCTGTAAGTGGATGTCTGATTGTCTACAGATGGGCTTTGCATCTACATAGAGGGTAATTTTTAAATGGTATTTTGTTTGTTTTTTAAGATTTTTGCTTCCTTTTAGGGAAATGTTTTAGATTGCATACTCTCTTGATAATCAATTACTTCAAAACTTAATAATTAATTATCTCAAAACCCAGTTGCTTAAATCAGTCTGTGAGTCACAAATTTGGGAGCAACTTAGCTGGCAGATCCAGCTAAAGGCTTCTCATAAGGATCGGCCAGACGTTGGTTGAGACAACAGTCCTAGGAGCACGTGAGTGAGCTGAGGCTAATTAGCTTCAAGGTGGTTTCATCGTATACCTAGTAAGTTAGTGCTGGTTGTTGGCAGAGAACATGAGGGACTTGTAGGTATTTCTGAGTGCCATCACTCCTTGTGCTAGCTGCAATTGAGTCAGTTCATGGTCACACTATGTAAAGTAGAAAAAATGTGCCATTTTCAACATGGTTGGTATAATTGAGTCAATTGTTCTCATCGCTGTGTATTCTGAGTGCTTTCTAGTCTAGGAGTCTTATCTTCTGGTTGTGATCCCATAAGCTCAATTAATTGAGACGGGTTCTCTTACAGATCAATAGGGTTCGAGAGGGCACAATTTGCAAACAAGAAAAGTTATAGATTAAGAGGTAGAGAGACAGAACACTTGGCGTGTGGGGACACATGAAGGCAAGACCCTCCCCGGTCAGGAGCTCTATTCACAGCAGGTTTATATATACACTCCTTGTCACGTAGCCTGCATCTTGTGACTATCCCTTTGCGACAAAGGGATAGTTGACGATTATCTGAGGGTATACAAAGAAACATGAATAATTCTGCCAAGTTGTTTAAGGACTGGAGGGGAGGATGAAGTCAGGGACAAGAAGAAACAGAATTCTATGTCCCAGCAGCCTCTCTGGAAGCAAGAGGGAACGTATACATGTGATCTTAGAAGGTGAGGCCAGCTGGCTCATTAGTTCTCTGGGCTGATCTGTCAGCACTTTCCCAAAGAGCAAACAGCTCTGCTCTCACACGATCCCTTGAGTTTTCACTGAATGATTTTCAGCAGTAGATTGCTAGATCTTTCTTCCCAGTCCAGAAGCCCTGCTTACCCCTACTTCCCCTGGATGACCATGTTACCATTTGAAATAGCATTTGGCAGTTTTCAGTATGATAACGGCACACAAGCCACCACTGTATGACTGATCGATGGGTTGTGAGCTCACACCATATCATTCGCTTTTCCCAAAAATAAGCTCCACAAGAGCCAAAAGTGGAAGTGCCCATGTCTTTTGCAAACTAGCCTCATACATGCTCAGAAGTCATATGCCATCACCTCCAAATTATTCTCTTGGTCATTCAGCTCAATGGAGGATTGAAATCAGGAGGAAACTATCGATGGAGAGCATCTTGGGGGTGAACTATTCCTTTCAAAAGCATAATTTATGTTGTAATGTATATGCGCTTTCTCACTGGTGACTTAAAAGTGTCTTCTGAACCACCCATGATTTTTCATGTCAGCAGCGTTTCTTTTTACATTATTTAGAGAAAATATTAAGATAATCTCTTGGAAGGAGAGAGAGTAAAACACATCCTGGCCCACCATGCCTCAAGGATGCTGTTCCTGTTCAGAGCAGCCAATGCACATAGAGGACCGTAGGTCCGGCCACACCATGAGACATGACGTTGTCCCTCACTGACCCATCGTGCTACAGGGGACAACACTGGAGACACAGTGTGGGGATTGTGCCCAATCTGACCCCACCACACTGGGGCAAAACACGAAAGGTGGGCAACAGAGCAGCCAGGGGAGCAAAGCAATGAAGTCCCCGAGGAATACCACAAATAAATTTTGGAGCCAGAGCCTAGCATCTAATCACACTCAACTGGAAAATACTCATAAAAGTCAACAAACAGACCTGGAGCTATTTAGGCTTTTTTATTGTTGTTTTGGTTTTCTTTTGTTGTTTTGTTTTGCTTTGTCTTG